ACATTGGATATATATATATATAATTATATATATATATATATATATATATATATATATATATATATATATATATTATAAAGTTTATCACATAGACATTTACATAGCTACACAAAAGATTTGATGTTTCAATACCATGATTGTACTTCGTCAGTCGGTGCCAGATGACTTGTGACAAAAAAATGATTTATTGTCGAAATTTAACAAGAAATTTAAAAACGAAACCTCTATTAGGGAGTTAAAGGTGGGACCATAAGGTTGGAATTAAAAATATATTTCTGGATATGTCTAGATTAAATAATTGTAAGTCAGATCTACTCTAAAAAAAAAAAAATAAGGTCAGAAATTGAAGGCGGGTGGGTTATTTTTTCATGTCATGAGAAAATAACGCGCTAGACATCATTCGATAGTAGATAACTTTTAAAAATTAAATACTATGAATTTTGGATTTTTACTCCATCTTTTCTGTCTCTTATTTGTATATATATATATATATATATATATATATATATATATATATGAATATATATATATATATATATATATATATATATATATATATATATATCTATGTATATAAATTTCATGCTTGCATATATCTATATTTTATGTATGCATGTAGATATATATTTATAGTATAAATATATTGCCAAAAATGTAAAAATAACACGTCTTAGTTGGTGTCCAAATATTTAATATTCGAACCTGTACCCTAGACGGAACCGTCATATATCCTGACGGGCTATACCATTTAGAAAACTTTATTTCGACCTTGCTAACCAGACTCTTCCTCTGTAGATAAATGGTATAACACGTCTGTCTATATGACGACACCGTGTAGGATACAAGTTCGATTCGCATTAATTCCTATAAAAATTTCTCGGACATTCAGAGAGGTAAATGTTGTTAATACAGTTTAATATAAAGTTACACCACTTGACATAACAGTCGATATGATATATTATAATAATACTATTAACCCTAGACCACTAACCCTCAATTAAAGTTACACCACTACTAACCATGGGTATATCATACCCGATTTTGAAAATATCAAAAAAAATATTAAATATAAATCTTTATTTGAAATATTTTACATGCAGGCACTTCAAACTTTGTACTTTGAGTTAAGATTAATAGGAACTGAAAAACATATTATTTAGGTAAGAAAATCAGGTACTGAATATTGTAATTAAAATAGTGGAAATTTGCGCTGGGTACTATGGGTACCCAATGGTTAATGTTCTAGGGTTACTAAAATAATATAACAATCGGCTAGGTCACCTCGATGTGGGGTAATAGTTAACAAGTTTATACCGCTAGAACAATTACGACTGCGTAGTGAGTTCGATCCTCACTGGGTGCCCCGTACTTTCGGCCATGTGCCACATGTAAGTCTCGCTTAGAAAAAGGGCACCTCGAGGTGCAATTACGACTGCATAGTGAGTTCGGTTCTCACTGGGTCCCCCCAGCTAATTTCGACTTTGTGCTACATCTAAGCTATGCTTGGAAAATCACTATGACCATCGGCTTTCATGCACTAACAATTATTTTCCCGCCAAAAATGTCCTATCTGTTAAAAATGGATGTTTCCTTTTAATTTTGCTGTCATTCTGCAGGTGTTGAAATTATTAAATCTGTTCTTTAAGTTTTGGCAAAGACTTGTATATGAATTTGAGTATATTACATATGACCACTTTCTTTTTTCCAAATGACATTTGATCGTATAAGATCCAGATACTCTCGGGTATGAACTGGGTTTATTCAGTCATATTTTATTTTTATTTATACATGTTTCGTTAGAAATTCCTTTGCTGGGGATATTACTCTTATACTTAAGATTATTGTGATTTCAGCTTTCACTGCATATTAGCGAAAGGAACCGGAGAAAAGATTAAAAAAATAAAAATTCTTACCAAAAAACTCTCGTTATTCTTTAATGAAATTTGTATAAATGATGAAACACACACACACACACACACACACACACACACACACACACACACACACACACACACACACACACACGCGCGCTATTTGTCCATAAAGTTCGTATGCACTTTAAAACATTTATAACTTTATTTGTATTTGCGATAGAAATAATTTGTAAAAAGGATTAGAAAGAAGTAAATCTATATTTTTTAAGGTTTTATTGAAATTTTATTTAAGTTTCCACATGTTCTCCATCATTAGCAATACAAAGGGTAATACGATTTTGCAGTTCACGGAAACAATTTGCCAACTGATTTACAGTAATGTCTGAAATCACATTAGTTATTTTAGCTATACTTAAAACTAGGTACATTAAACTTTATAACATTTTTTACAGATTATTTCATTCGCAAAAAGTTATAATTTTTTTTTAAAGTGCATGCAAACTTTATGGACACCGTGTACACACACACACACACACACACACACACACACACACATATATATATATATATATATATATATATATATATAATCTTTTATCACTATTTTCTGATATTAGATTCTATGTGTGAAATTTACGATAGATCAGAATCGCAGGAAAGCAAATTGAAAAGCTGAGATTACACGAGAACAATGGTGCCAACATTTGAAAACGAATATCTCGTTTGATTTCAGTTAACATTCCACACGTGTTGTAATTATTCATTCTCATAGCTTTGTTCTTTTACAAGTTTTATAATTACATTCGAATTTGAATATATTACAAATAAACACATTTTTTTTTTATCGAAATAATTTGATCACATATGACTCTGCGTTAATCTTGTGTTTGAGTTTCTTAATATGTAATTCAATAATCAATAACAACAGAAGTTTCAGAGTGAGAAAATTTGGTTCCTGGGATCTACCTGTGAACATCTTCAAAAAGAGCTAATTTGCAATCAAATATTCAAGAATAGTGTCTCAATGTCTACCGGTTATGGAGGTGACAGCTTGTTTTTAACCTTGGCAAGGTACATATCAGTCTGTAGAAATCTTTTTTTTTTTTTTTACAGGTTTATATATATATATATATATATATATATATATATATATATATATATATATATATATATATATTAATAGCGGTAAATAGGAACTGAAGAAAAAGGAAAACAAAAAGACAATTATTGTCAGAAACAGAAAAAAAACGACAACTGAAATCACTGGGAGATATGTAACATTTATGACGATAAAATACGGATATCTTTCCTGACACACTATTTACATTATTCAGACTATTGTCCTCATCTCTGCCGCCATATTTATTACAACGTTTCGACCGTTGTACGCTCCGGCCTTCTTCAGGTGGTTGGAATGTCGAACTGAACCCTTTATTTCGCTCACTGGGGCAGATTGTTCTAGTTCCACGTGCCATGTTTAATGGATGTCATTTATCAGTTATCTCCTGTTAATTCCCCTCTCCAAGTTCTCCACTGCCTTAACCGGGTAACGAACTAACAGTATTTGGTTCTTGTCATTGGATCTAACCAACGCCATTATCCACTTTGTCATGTGTCCTTGATGACACTCCAACCTCCTGAAGAAAGCCGAAGCGTACAACGGCCGAAACATTGTAATAAATATGGCGGCAAAGGTGAGGAAAATAGTTCGAATAATGTAAATAGCTTACATAATACCTCATCTCAGAAATATAGACAGATATTTTTCCTGAGGTGTTTCTAAATTTTACACTGTTCAATTATTAAGGTTAACAAAGGACTATTTTAAATTACAAAATTGTACATTGATTAAACGAAAATTACTTATACTATAATACATATTACTTAAAATATAAACATTCTTGTTGTCAATTTTTACGTCATAGGTACACTAGTATATATTATAATACTTATATTTAATATAAGTTTATTATAAAATATATTTATAAACATATTGTAAAAGCATATATATATATATATATATATATATATATATATATATATATATATATATATATATATAACATCAGCTATGAACACCGCCACAATATGCTGAACATATTTAGAAAATAATAATAACCAAAATAAACTTTACTATCGCTCTAGATGCATATATAAAAATCTTGACATTCCGTTACAAATTAAAATACAATAAGGTCTCTTCTTTTTTTCTCAAACATTACCGTGTTAGTATGCAGCTTCTCTCATCAATGAACGATAGTCGACTTATATTTTGCAATGAAAGTTCACGGAATTAAAGAATTTGATAAAGCTGATGTTTTACTTAACGGTACCCAATGATAATGCATGTAATAGTCTCATATTAGTATCGTATTATAAAATACAAACATAGCGAAGATGCATCTTTTCCATTGTTTACGTTCATAAGATATTTAGTTTTTTATCGTTCGGTTGTTCATGGCTGTACGCATTTACGCAACGAGTATAGCGTTACTAAAGATACTTTTACCATTCTCTTTTACTTTTTTAACTTATTTAATTTGATCAAATCCATGAAAAATCGAATATTAGCACTGAAACTAGTAAATGGAGGACCTACTCTATACTAGTTCCAAATACTTTTTATTTATGTTGAATAGAGATTACGTAATTAAATTGGCTAAAAACTTTTCTTAGGCCCGGTTCGATACTGCATAACTTGGAGAATAAATATGAATAGTTATAACATCTAACGTTACAAAGTTCTAAGTTATTTTTTTCGGTGGGTGGACAATGAATTTTAAACCAATTTTAATTTTTGTTTTTTGTTTTACATTGTTTTATTTTTCCAATTTCGGTTATACGTAGAAGCATTTTAAATGTTTTATCCATAACATATTTACAGTTTTTTTATGTTTTTTTTTTTGTTTTAAATAGACTCATTAATAAATACATTATGAAACAAAACAAATTGATTATTTTGTTATTTTCCAGAAATGAATATTTACGAAAAAGAAATGTCTAAGAAATATATTATAAAAATGCCATGACTTTTTTATTTCACTAAGAAATAACTGACATTCAAGTGTAGGAAAATGGCAAAGAATTACTTTAACAGACGAGAAAGACTTCGAAGCTGCAAATGTTATGGGAAGATTGGTTTATTTACATCTGTTCTTTCTTTCTTTCTTTCTTTTTTTCTTTCTCTATCTCTCTATCTATCTATCTATTCAGAGAATCCCTATCTCTCCCATTAATTCGTGTATGATTGCCATGAACCTGTGTATTATCTATCACAATGTCTTCATATCTATCTATCTATCTATCTATCTATCTATCTATCTATCTATCTATCTATCTATCTATCTATTTAGTATCTTTCTATCTATCTATCTATCTATCTATCTATCTATCTATCTATCTATCTATCTCTATCAGTCTCTTTATATCTATCTATCTCTCACAGTCTCTTTATATCTATCTATCTACCACAGTCTCTTTATATCTATCTATCTATCTATCACAATCTCTTTATATCTATCTATCTATCTATCTATCTATCTATCTATCTCATCAGTATTTATATCTATCTATCTATCACAGTCTCTTTATATCTATCTATCTATCTATCTATCTATTCATCTATCTATCTATCTATATATATATATCTATATATATATCTATATATTTATATCTATCTATCTATCTATGTATCTATCTATCTATTTATCACAATCTCTTTATATCTATCTATCTATCTATCTATATATCTATCTATCTATCTATGTATCACAATCTCTATCTATCTATCTATCTATCTATCTATCTATCTATCTATCTATCTATCTATCTATCTATCTATCCAGAGGAATCCCTATTTCTCCCATTAATTAGTGCATGACTGCCATGAATCTGTTTATTATCAGGCGCCCTAATGTATTGCATAATTGGTGACATGTCGTTTACATCCGGGCATAAGTGTTACAAGTGTTGATGGCGGAAATGAAGAGTTAATGATTGCAGGTACAAGATGAACCCAAAACTGAACGCTAGTCCATAAATATGTGATGAATATAAAAGTCGCTTCTCAACAAACCTTCTGCGGATTAAAACCTTTATCCTCTGATATAATCTTTCATTCATTGCCTTCTTGGCGCATCATCTTTTCCCACACGGCTTTTATCCGTCGTGTTTGTCTGGTTACATAAACCTATATATGTTTGCACTTTCGGTGTTCGGTTTAAACGACACAAATAATAACTATAATGTTAACCTTGTTAATTCCAATAAAGTTACATATCTCTATCTATAAAAAGCAGGATTTGTGTGTCTGTGTGTGTGTGTGTGTGTGTGTGTGTGTGTGTGTGTGTGTGTGTGTGTGTGTAACGAATGCACGGTCGCAATTTTCGACGGATTTGCACCAAAATTTGCATGCACATGCTCCAAGTTAGCGCGAAGAACAAGACCGACTTTGCATTTCCCAATTCATATCGATAGTGGAAATAATCTATTTTTTCATGCTTCTACAGGAGTTTTCATGTAGAGTGAGAGCCTATAGCTGGCTGCCACGAATAGGCAGGGAGATTCTATTGGCCAGCGCGAGAGCCAACAGCTGCCTGACACGAATATTAACTAGCATGCTAACATGCAAATATCGATAGCTGCATTCGTCAGAAGTGGGAAAAATTTAAATCTGCATGGCACTTTACTCCAATTGGCTCATTCCCTTGCTTAAACTCAACGTTGATTCTGATTCCGCAGAACTGATTTTGGTGTGAAAAAGTATTTGTTGTTAACATTCTTTTTTTTTTCGGTTTTTTTCAGTTACGGGTCCTTTTTAAAGCTGATCGTTTTTTGTGTTCATTTTGTTTAGTTCTTTTTCGTAACAGATTTAATGTTTAGTATAGATTAAAAAATTTGCAGTGTGAGATAGGCAAGAAGTAATGAATGTAGCAACATCAGCACGGCAAAGGGCACTCCTTTAAAGTCAAGGAAGGGCAAAAATATTTTAAGTCAAATGATAGCGATTGCTGTATGAGTCGGACGATTTTTGAATCAAGCCCAGGCAACGCCGGGTCATGCTGCTAGTTAAAAATCAAAGCAGCAAAACTCTTGTTCTAAAGAAGTCAGTCGAAAATAAAAGATAAATAATTCGGTAGTGGGTTGGTGCATAATTATCAGACGTTTTTATAGGCGAGTTATTTGCTAATAAAAATTGCAGTTCTGTTTACTTTTTTTAATAAAAATATTATTTTATTCTCAGGTCACAAAAAATTGGTGTCGATTCTCATAGGCTCCGGAATAATCACTTTAAAATGTTATTGTTGAATTGTTATGTTTCTTTTTCCATAATAGATATTGCTTAAAAAACAACTGATAATTATGCACCAACCCAATAGCATGGTAATTGTAAGTAAGAATAAGACAACACTTAAGAGCTGTTTTAAAAAAATTAAACTCTAATCATTTACATAAGCGCGTCAATACATCCGGGACTGCAATAACAGAGCATTAATATATAATAATTAATGTTCCCAGTTATATATACAAGATATGCTCTCAATACAGAAGATTAATTCAGATTTCAAAATAAAATTCACAGAGATTATATGTAATAGAACCTTCCAGCTCTCTCTCGCGGAATATTAGTCTTTGATGTTTAAGTATTATATATAGGGATATCTATAAAAAATGTCGTGTAACTATATATATATATATATATATATATATATATATATATATATATATAGGGCCCCCTACACATAGGAGTAATAATGAAAGGCAAACTGTTCCCAAAAATCGCCACAAACGAGAGATAGCAAATGTATCACAATCTAATTTGGCGTACAATCGGTACAGAAACAATCAAGTCTACCTCATATAGCGCCCGTGACGACGTAGTATATTATGGAAGATGGCGCAGTAGCCCCTAAAACGCATGTTAGGAGAACATTATCTATATATATATATATATATATATATATATATATATATATATATATATATATATATATATATATCCCATCTGTTCATGTCTAAAATCTATGTTCAAATATATATCTAAATTTACATCATATGTATCAATCTGTGTTTATTCATATTATCTGTCTGCCTTTACATATTTCTCTCTCTTATATATATATATATCGTTATTTCGTCGTCGTTCAAGATATGCTTGTTTTTGTCGCTTCCCCTTAGATGTTCAGGTACACCTTTGACCAATATATATATACATATATATATATATATATATATATATATAGTTAACACAACTATTCATATCTATCTACCTCTCGATATATATATATATACCTATCCATGTCTATCGAATCTATGTTCAAATATATATTTTGCCTGATCATAACTATCTATCCCATCTGTTTCACATCTCTCTCTCTCTCTCTCTCTCTCTATATATATATATATATATATATATATATATATGAATAAACACAGATAGTATAGATATATTATCGTATTCATATTATTTGTCTGTCTGCCTTTTCATATTTATTTCACACACACAGACACACATATACACACAGACACACGGACACACACAGATACACACACACACACACACATATATATATATATGAAGTATAGTTTTAAGTTGTATATATATATATATATATATATCGTTATTTCGTTGTCGTTCAAGATATGCTTGTTTTTGTCGCCTCCCATCAACCGTTCATGTTCATCTTTGACCAACTTTTTCGCTGCTGATCCTCTGACCTTTGGCGATCCATGAAGTTGTTGTGTGTGCTTCCAGCTCTGCGAAGAAAAATCCAGTCGCCCTTCGTCCGCTCAGGAAGAAGATTTTCTACAGTGCAACGCCAAACTCAGAAGATATTTCAGCATTCTACTCTTTTCCCGTGATGCCGTTCAATTTAGCGTCGAAGACCGGTCGTGCCTCAAAGAAATCAGAAACGAAAGATCCCAAGGCACTAATATTTATGGAAAAGATGAAAAACTGGAATCATGAAAGGGAAAACGAAAGAGAGTCTAAAGACAAGAAAACCTAGTGTGAGTGAGATACGATATTTTTAGTGGATACCCGTGTTTAATATAGAAGTCTATTTCTAAAAAAAACATTTATTTCATGCACTGGTAAGTAATAAAATTAAATATATTATATATATATATATATATATATATATATATAGATAGATAGATAGATAGATAGATATACAGTAGCGAGCATAAAGATCAGAACGATGTTAAGAAAAAGTCTAAAGATGAAATAACGTTTTTATTTTAAAGCTTCAAAGAACATTTTATCAAGTAAAAATAAGGTTATAAATTTAAATTATATAATTCCAAAATATAAAGCCCAATAAAGTTATTTTGATAAAGTTATAAGAATAATTATATAACATTCGAAAAATAGATGAGCAAAAACATCAGAATGATTTAACAAAATCATACTATTATAATGGATATATCATATCCAAATGAACATAACGTTCATAATTCATTAGTATTTGATATGTAGACTTTTTCCTTGCAATAACAGCTTGACATCTTTTACTACATGAGCGAATTAATGTCTTGCATTCATTAACGGATATTTTCTCCCATTCTCCTTTCAAATTAGTCCATAGTTCTTCGACATTTGTTGGATTCTTTTCCTTAGCTCCTTCATTTAATATCTTCCAAACATTCTCAATAGGATTCATGTCTGGGCTTTGAGCAGGCCACTTCATAACAATAACATCCTCCTCAGAAAGAAATGTCTTAACAGACTTCGCTGTGTGACATGGCGTGTTATCTTGCATAAATACAGCTGGTTGATTAATTGCAGTTCTCAAATTAGGTACAACATGTTTCTTCAATATCTCTTTGTATACAGTTGCGTTAACTTTACCGTGTAGCCTAACAAGAGGTCCCGTACCAGCATCTGAAATCATTCCAAACACCATCATACTTACTCCTCTAAATTTAACGCTGCTTTTAGTGCCCTGATGTGAATATCGTTCCTTAGGACTGCGTCGAATGAACCTTCTCCTGTCACAACCAAACAGGTTAAACTTTGATTCATCACTGAAATGAACACCATCTCACTGTTCTTCAGTCCATATGACGTGTTCAGTAGCGAATTTCAGTCGGCTGATTTGGTTCTTTGTAGAAATGTAAGGCTTCGTACAAGCTACTCGACTGTTCAAATTTATTTCATTAAGTCTTCGCTAAATACTGTGAGCTGATATTTTAATGCCAAGGTTAGCATTAGCTCTTTTAGAGATAGTGGTTGCTGTTGTAAATCAATCCTTTTTTGATTCATTACCAATCCATCTGTCTTCCCTTGTAGTAGTTTTCCTTAGCCTGCCAGGTGGTTTCTTGGCTTCACATGACCCAGTTTCTTCAAGTTTTCTTAAAATACTATGAATAAGACTTTTAGATTTCTCCATAGTCCTTGAAATATCCCCAATCGAGAATTTACCTTCATTACATAACTTGACTATCAATTTTCTAAGATCCTATGACGCCATAGATTTTTTCGCCATGTTTACAATGCAAGAGTCAATAAAATTTTTTTCAATAATGCAAAATAATTATTAAATTTTATCGATTTATTTAAATCGTTCTGATGTTTTTGATCATCTATTTGTTTCGAATGTTATATAATTATTCTTATAACTTTATCAAAATAACTTTATTGGGCTTTATATTTTGGAATTATATAATTTACATTTATATCCTTATTTTTCCTTGATAAAATGATCTATGAAGCTTTAAAATAAGTTATTTCAGATTTAGACTTTTTCTTAACAACGTTCAGATATTTACGCTCGCTACTGTATATTGGAAAAGCACCTTTTGGCTATAGAAACAGTTTCCCTGATGGAAAAAGTGATACAGGTTCGATTCCTGTCTGGTGAACAATTTTTTTT